GGATGCATTCGCATCACAACACTTCCGACCGAAACGCCGTAACGAAAGCGAGAATAACCCACGGGAATATTGGCGTCTTTCGCACCGCTCGTTCGCTCGCGTCTGTTACGGCGGCGCGTATGTGTTGTGTACTGCGGTGTGTGTGAGACGCGCGGCGCACTGAAGGACGCCAAGCGACCTTCGATACGACAACAAACGTGAATATGCGCTTGTATTCCCGCGGGTGATAATATTTTGACATGGAACGTCGAAAAACGATCGCGTGACGCTTCAACGACGAATTCCGATACTCGGTCGGGATTTCACCGCGCGCCGACTCTTCGCATCGGGGAAATACGAAAACCTTAACATGAGGCGGGATATTATACCGTATTCACATGTGCGAGAGGAGCAGTGCGGACTTTTGATAACGGCAGAGCGGCTCCGTCGCCTTTTTTTTCTGTTCGACATTTAACTGTTCTTCCTTTCCGTCTTTGTCGCGCCGGACCCTTCTCGCGAAATTGTTTGTCTCCGTTTCTCCCGGTTACGTTGTGCCGCGAACTTCTAACAGTGCAGATCAGCAGAACTCAAAGCGCTCTCTCTCTCTCTCTCTCGCGCTCTTTCTCTCTCTCTCTCTTTCTCTCTCTCTCTCTCTTTCTCTCTCTCTCTCTCTCTCTCTCTCTCTTTTTCTTGTACCTACAATGCCACTCCCCTCTCCCCTCTTGTGAGAGACCTCTAGGGAGGGAATAATATCTTAAAAGTCAGGACAGCATTGAATGCATCGTCGACAGTTTGTGTTTGTATACATGTGTGTATGTGTGTATACACGCGCGCTCGCGCATATGTGTGTGTGTATGTGTGTATGTGTGTGTAAGAAAGAAAGAGAGATGTTGAAAACAGCAAAGACGCATGTTTGGAAAGACTTTCCGTGATCTTTCGAATGAAACTGCAACAAGAACACGGTTTTCTCCGACACGCCAATTCTCCGTGCGTTATTTTCTTCCTCCCTTCAAGCTCAGCACGAAATTCGAGTTTTAATTTCTCGACCTACGTCGCGTTCACATTTTCTTCTCTCCCTCCTTCCGTCTCTCCCTCTCTCTCTCTCTTTCCTCCCACTTTTTCTCTCTTTCTCTCTGTCGTATCGCCGTCGTTATAAACAATCAAGAAATCGCAGAAAAAGGTATCGTTCCAAAGCCCTCATCAAAGTTTTCTCAAACGTATGATTCAATTTTTAGAGTCGCTACCACTTAATCCCGCCTCACTCGAAACGCATTCGCCGACTCGTTGCGCAGCTCTTTACATGAGCTTTTTACACGCGTTTCCCGACACTTGAGGATTATCCGGCTGGCGAGTTGCGACGACCGTTGCAAGTTCCCCCGCGGAGAGAACAATGGACAAGTCAGAGGTGATCCCGGTGCAGGTGAACTCGGTTATCCTCCTGCGTGCGGAAGTGTTGAAGCCAGATGGAGCTCTGTGCAGCGGCAGTAAAGAACAATAACGCTCAGTGCACCTGAGATACGTACGCGCAAACCGTAAAAAAGTATGGTGGCCATTACGGCGCCGATGCCCGCGCTAAGTTTATAGCGGTATTATTCCTATCAACCAAGGTGTCTCTCAGGAGGATACGATGTCTCAAGTCACAGCGCGAAACGGCACGGAGCCCTTTTTACATTCAGATACAAAAGAGAAACGCGGCTAACGAGATGCGAGCGTGGCGATTAAGCCGGATCATTTCGACGGTGTAATGAGTCATTTCTTTGGAATAATGAATCGCGAGACGCGAATACAGTAACGAGTAACTAGCTCTCATCGAGAACTACGTTCTTGAACTGAACTTTTGGCGGACTTTTGGCGGACTGCGACAATGTGTAACAATGAGGAGCGAACTCGGCGAACGACGACAATTAAGACGGCCATCGGGAGGAATTCCTTCGCGTCAGCGACGATGCTTTTCTACGGTGTGCGCGTATAGACCTTATCTTCCATTCGCAGTGATAGGCCGCGAAATAACCCGACCATCGTGATCGCGGCTGTGATGTCGATGCCAGACACGCCGGAAGTCGACTTTATGGCCACGACCGAACGCGAACGCTCGCATGCAACGGACGGACTTGAGGCCGAAAAGGGGAGTGAAATTGGAGCGAAAAAAGAACTGCTGAATAAAAACTAAAAGTTACGGGGCGGCCGCGAGACCTGTGCCAAAAAGGGTTGAAAGCGCGACGTGAACGCGCTCTATTCTCTTTCTCTCCGCTTCTTGCCTTTTTCGTTTTAATTTCACGCTCGCGCCAATTTTCGGGCTTTTCGCGAGCCCGGCAGGTCATCGGCGTCGATTTATTACGTCACGCCACGAGAAAGGGTCGGACAAATCGCTGAAAATTCATTCTCGAAGAAGATCTCGCACCGTACTGCCATCATTTATTTCTTCGAGCTCGCCGGAAATCAAGGCGATTACCTGATCATCATCCGACGGTTAGACATTTCGCCATAATGGCGATTCGATCTCAAGTGCTTCCACGATCAATAAGTGGTTGTCTCTGCATGGTAATTTGTTTGCGATGATAATATCTTCATATTAACATACATGAGATAAGTGATTTATGCGAAACTGGACTTCTTGTATTCTTTGTCGCTTGCATCACCCGAGTACGTTTATTTCGTATATCGATATACATAATTTAATTCTCTAATTTAACTTTTCTAATTCTCCAATTCTATAACCAGCCGATACAATGTCAAATTTTCTATACAGTTCTTTTACGCGAAATGGACCTGCTGTATACAATTATATTTTTCTCGTCAAGACAAAAAGATTCCTATGCACATGGTGTGTTTAGAATTAATTAATTAAAAAGTTATTATCAAGTCAAGATTGAAAGAATTAATTTCAATGTTAACATATTACATGCTAATAATATTTATTTACATGAATATAAATTCCAAAAATAAAAAAAAATAAAAAAGAAAACACGGATTTTATACATATAGACTCTTTATTTGTCTCGATCAGAGAATTGTAATTACATACAGCCAGCCTGTCCTTTTTGTAGCATGCTGTATAACGTAATTTTTAATGAAATTTTAATTTTTTTACGAAAAACAAAATCGTACATGTTAAAACGTAGAGAAACGAATGTATGTAAACGAATGTATTTTAGCCGAAATTAATTTTTCCAAGCTCGCGATTTACAAAAAGCTTCGTTCAAACCTCCCTTTAACCGGAAAATATTTTGTATATTTCGGCCAGCTCAATAGCTTTACGTATTTTCTCTCTATTGATTTTGTCTTTGCTAACTTCATCATGTCAACCCTCGCCGTGCGACGAAGGATGAAGGAAGAATCCGAGCTTATCGCAAAGATCGGGCTGATCTCCGAAACGATCGAACTCCAGCCGTCCTTCCACCACGGCACATCGATCACCCGCGAGCGAATCGTTCCAGTTTCTCGGGCATACCGGGTTTACCTTAATGAAATTAATGGTATCAGTGGCAGTCGTATATTGCTGGTTAGCTGGCGCTCTCGACAATGACGGAATCCAGTTGGCGAAACAACTTCGATAAAGCTACGATTCGGTCCGACAGTGACGAATACTCAACAGCGGCATTTTGGACTTGGGTTTCTACGCGTTTCATGTTTCAGTTCTTCTCCCTCTCACTCTCTCTCTCTCTCTCTCTCTCTCTCTCTCTCTCTCTCTACCTCTCTATTTCTTTATTTCTATGTCTCCCCTTATTTTCCTTTTCTCCCTTACTCCCTAATCTCTTCTCTTTTTGATGATGGATGATTACTATGGACCAAGAAAGAGGAATGGATGTGGAGAGCTGATGGCACGTTCTGATCGTCGCACATGTGGATCGTACATGTCTTTGAATAGAATGGCGTCCAAAACTCGGTTTTTTCGCAAAGGGAGTCCTTTTCTCAATTATAATCTCTCTCTTGTAATCATATATTCATCCTCGTCCATACTCTCTCTCTCTCTCTCTCTCTCTCTCTCTATTTCCGTCTCTTTCACCCTCCTTTGTCCTTCTCATTCCTCCTCCCCCATCTTAGATTTCTCTGCCATTGGTAGAACAGGCAGTGTCTTAACCCACCTACCGTTAGTAGCGAAATACCGATTCCGACCTAAGCTCGTCCGCTTGGCAAATGCCCTTCCGTGCGCCATTCGGCACGAACGTGTACGTACGTAATCGCCTTGGAATCGCCGATTCCATCCCACTGCTTGCCGGAACAGATAGCTTCCTCGGTACTACGGGCTTGCATCTCAGATCGATTCCGGAGTCCGCTATCTCCGAATTCATAGGCTCCGAGATCCGTGAGTATACGACACCTGGAAGACGTTCCGTAATTTCGGATTTTCAGGACGGCAACAACGACAACAATGGCAGCGTTTAGCCCGTCTCTCGATCAAAGCTGGATTATTCTGCTACTTGCAATTCTCCGTGACTTGCAAGTCTTACGTGAGTAATCACGATGTCTTGATAATAAAGAAGTCTCCGCAAACTCGCGTGTCCATCGCCTTCGGCTTTATCCGCTTTGGAGCAGGAGTTATTTTAAACGCGTTTAGCCAGAACGTCGTAATTTTCTGGCGAAGACGCCGGAGAAATTGAATCGCGCCTGACGTGTCCGCTATGATCGAGCTTGCGGATAAGCTCACGCCAACGCCGGCCATTTCTAAATCCCGGCCGGTATTAAGCGGTGCATTTCTGATTTATAGTCTGCGCTTCGTGCAATTAAAGCGCGTCAGTGAAAAACGCCTCCGTTTTACTTATCAGCCGCGTAACATGTCGCGATTAATAACGTCAACGTTGTCCGTTTCGCGTCTTCTGTCCAATTAATACCTAACTTTTCTGTATATCTTCGCTTTATGAAATCCCCGCGAGATTCCTTCTCTACTGCGTGCCAGACACGAAACAGCATCTTTATCAATTGTCACGTTGTTATTGCTTTTCCTATTATCAGGCGCAAATGACAACACAAAGGCACGCAGGCATGAATGTTGTACAATCATTTGTTCGTTCTGTTTGCAGAAGATGGGCTCCGTGCACGGGGAGGAACTTCCATTCGTTTTCGGAGCGCCTCTGTGGGTGGAGGGATTCGGCCATTTTCCGAAAAACTACACAAGATTGGAAATGGCACTTTCGGAGATCATCATGCAGTACTTCGCCAACTTCGTGAAGACGGGGTAAGCGAATTGTGTGATATTTAGTCGGCCTAATCTATAAAAGGCGGCTCGAGAGAACGCGAGACTAAAGACGTCGGAATTTGGAAGTTATAATAACCCAACGGCGTGCGCGATGATCACGAGGACAGTGTAAAATGGTAACTTCCGTCTGACACACAGCACGCCATCGTCCCGAACTTCCTCCTGCGCCCTGTGACGCTTGTTCCTACCTTGTTCTGAAAACGAATTTTAATTTTCACCCGCAAGTATCCTGGAAAAATCCGTTCTTTTTTCTTCGAATTAACCGCAGTACTCTGCACGCACCACTTGTGCGGAATCAATTTGCGGTGGAAAAAAGGGGAGTACCGAGCGTCGAAAAGTCTAATTTTCCATATTCATGAACGAACCGTGGAGAAAGCCTGCGCGATGAGAATAACGCGGCAAAGTAGGGGCGGGGACCGGGGGTGGGAAGGGTGAGGAGGAGACGCGTAATGGCGCTCGTGAGGGTGGAGGAGAAGTAGCGGACTCTGGCAGACAGATTAGCGCGAAAACATTTTTCGGACGTGTCCGCCGGAGTTTTTCGACCGTTTCTAAAATTTTATTCGAAACCCGAGCTAAAGCTAGCTTTTGACCGAATTCGTTCATACACCCATATACCATCGGAAAACAAACGATATCGGAATTGTTATCTTGCGTGAGGGACGAGTGGCTAATTTCTCAAAAACAAAATAGCAATTGACTGCAGTGTGTGTGTGTGTGTGTGTGTGTGTGAATGTGTGAATGTGTGAATGTGTGACACAGAATATAGCGTAGCAAAGAAATAAAGGAGCAAATTGTGGCTCTCGTCAGCGTACTTCGTTACGCATAATTTGAGCTCTTGAAAAATATATCAAGGTGAGTGCAGCCGTGCATGTATCAAACTCTAATTTAAAATTAACGCGATAAATCATGAATCGCGCTAAACAGGCCATATTGCAAGCGTAGTTTGTAATTGAAGAAAGGGTTGGATCGCGGCGTAAAATTTATGTATGCGAAATATTGTATCCGTTGCTAGTGCCGGTTTCAATACTACCTTCTGGCTCAATATCAGAATTTGCAAAATATTTCGCTCCAACAAACACACGTATAAGCTTGTCATGCCTATTAGTAACGCCCTGAAAAAGTCCCGCCAGTAAATATTCAAAAAAGATATATACGTGGAATATTCATAAGCGTAAACATAAATTCTCAAAGCTCGCGATCAATAGCGTGTTTGTTTAGTAGAACGGCATTTTTATTGACGATCTGTTACTGCGAGATAAATGCGTTTTGTATCACTGAGGTGTTTACCGTAGCAAGGAAATATCAGTAATTGGATTATGGAAAACCGAAATACTGGAAACCGCTGAAATAATCACAATGCGCGAATATTAGCACAGGCCCGCGTTAATTATTACATTTAATTGTTATCGAGATGTACGAGTTTTAAAGTGATAAATTTCGCTGATGTGCAAGTCTAGTCTTGTTGTTTTGAAATATTTCAGATTAGAGGAACCGTACCGAAAATGCTATAACTTTAAAGATTTTAACACTTTAATAATTTAATTACAAAGGTAATGAAAATTCTCTGTGATGTATTTGTCGAGCATAAGTCAAGGCTCAAATACCAATATCTGGTAATTTAAGGTCTAATACAATTCGAAGTTCCTCACGTTGCTATAATTCGAAGGTTTCCGGAAAGTCAAATGGTCTCGACGTTCTCAGAATTTCTGGCGTTCCGGTAGTCTCTCAAGCATACAAATTTCCGGGATCTTACCTACATTAGGAAATTAAGATCAAACATTTCGAAATTTCCCTAACTCGAATCTGAGAAACGCTAAGGACATTCGAGTGCCACATACATAGCGTTCGTAGAAAATTTTCAACAATTTCACGCCGGAACGATCGTCCAAAATGCAATACTTCCGTTCCCGGAAGTTGGCAACTCCAACGTTTCATTGAACAACGAACAAGCTCGAATTTTCCGCGCATCCTAGAGCGTCAAGCTTCATAAGATTGTATACAATTTAAGGATCTGCGAGTTTCGAAAAATTTTTAGGATCCAAAAACTCGGATCCAAAGGCTCGATCCGTAACTTGGCGAGATCCTAAGCAGATAAACTTTTCGGAACCGAAGGGATTACTAGGCCGGGTTATCCCAGAGGAGGGACTTGCCCAGGATTATAGGAAAATTGGATGAGTTGGTTCTGTAGGATCGCTTTCAAATATAGCTGTTATACGTAGCGACACTACGATACCGCACACTTCGTGTACGCGCGCGTGCACGTGCACCGTGTGCATGTATACGTGACTCCCGAGGCCGCAAATGGAATATCGATGAAGGCGAGAGAAATGTTTTACGCGGTGAAAATTCTCGAAAGGACCCCATCCTTATTGGGGAGAGCCGTTGTGTCTTCCCTTCGGGGACCGTAGTGCAAGCAGTACGTGTCCGCCACGCGACGAATGTCCTTTCGCGAAAGAAATGAGGCCGAAGCAGAGAAATAGTACTTAAAGGATACTCAGTGTCTTTGACCCTTTGATCCTATGGATAACCGGCTTAAGTCACGGCCCGGAGAAAGTTCTCATTATTTACCGTGTCAACGGGACGATCCTATATGTGGCAGAGCGACTTTGTTTCTCAACGGTGAAATTGTCGACGCTTTTACCGTCGGCCTTACAACCTGAGAGACACTGATCCGTTGCGACTATTTTGACGATTCCAGAGTCCAAAGACTTAAGAACCGACAACTTTTATATATCTTGTAATAATAACATATTTCTACACTTCCGCTCTCGCGATTGACTCTATAATTAAATGATTAAGAGCGCTTGTATAGAAACAAGCAAGCTTGGCTTTGTACTGTTAAATGTTATCAGAACGATTATCTCAACAGTATCAACGTAGATCACGCGGCTTATGTAATCGCTACGTCGCATAATAGAACTAAAAGTAACGATTAAACGACAAAGTCGAGCGGAGCGTATGATTCCTTTCCAGGGAGGACCCTTTGCATAGGACCGGTGCTGATACGACGCACAGAATGATCCGGCGAAATAGCGTGTGCGCCGCGTATATCACGTTCCTAACTTGAGCGAATCGGTTCATATACTCAAAAGTCCTCGACGCGAACATCGATCCAGCTCGTCCTAAATCGGAGATGCATCGTCGGAGCGAATTTCACGTCGCTTGGAGCGATGACGAGCATTGAAACATCGTCGGCTCGTTTCGGCGTCGCTCTTGCATATTCATCGATGGGAGACGAAGGAGTTAAACGAACTTTCGCATATATCGCCAATAACTTTGTAGTTTCGCGGTAGACCTCCACACGTGGCTTAACTCCGGCAAGAGGACGTGTCTGGGACAACGTGTATCGACACGCACGTGGTGTGTGTTCGAAAACAGGCAGACGCGTTCCGTATACAGAACACATGCTGCATATATATAGGACTTTCCAGTGTAGGTTTTTATCGGGAAATTGCCGGTGCGCTTTGTACACGGGGAACAGTGAGAGATGGAGAAGAGAGGGAAGAGAGCGGAAAGAGAGAGAGAGAGAGAGAGAGAGAGAGAGAGAGAGAGAGAGAGAGAGAGAGGGTGTACGTATATGTATCGTATAATAGGGAAATATCGCATGAAGAAAATTGCCGTTCCAGGGGACAATTTAAAATGATGTTACCGATGTTACGATAATATCGTTAGTTCACCTCGATAAAATGATGTCCCGTTAAATTAGTCGGCGCCCGTTCATGCTCGCCGCGTGTGCAATATTAAATTGCATTATCGCGAGGCTGCTTTAGCTAAAGTCGGCGGTAGCTGCAGGCTAGTGTGTGTTACACACGCGTGCGGAGATTTTCGTTTCTCCGATCTCCATCCGTCACCTCGCAATAGCCGGATGCGAGAGAGCGGAGCTCATAACGACGTTGCTCGTTGGAATTTGCGAGACGTATTGATTCGGAATTCTCCGTTTCGCCGCTAACGTGCAACACCTTGCCGAGACGGTGTCGCCGTATAAACGTCAACGCGAGCGCGAGCACATCCAGCGTTCGCGCGATCACGCACAGAACGGCGTAGTTTGTCTCACGTAATTCCTGTGTGTACGTGACCGCGTCTAAACTCGAACCTCAAAATTACTCGCATTGTATTATATGCGCATGGCGGAGCGTTGGCGGAGACGCGTTGACGACTCCGTCGACCGATCCGATTGGTTAATACGTGACGTCTCAGAGTTTGTAGTTTAGTTCGTAGTTAGCGGTAAGTCGACGGATGTCGGAAAATCCATAGATATGGAATACGCGGCTCAACTGCAACACATTGTAGAACTTTGCTTTCAAACGGATACGTGGCTCATGTCCCGAGCATCGCGAGCCCCTTTCTCTTTCTCGCTCTTTTCGCTGTTGGGGAGCAGTTTGCGCAGAAGAAACGTAAAATCGCGACGGAAATACAGGGCGATTAAACGCGCGGGCGTCAGGTTTTTTCGTCAAAATTTCGGAAACGACCAAATACCGCTGTCCTTCTTTTTATTATTAAAAACGACACGGTCGTCCGCCAACCATCCAACCCCATTTCTCGCGGCTTGAAAAAATGCTCGAGCGATGAAAACGAGCCGGTGATTTTGTCAGCGCGTAGATGCGGATTATGAATCATCGCTCAAATACTCATTTCAGCCGATGCGCGCGCGGCAAATGTGATTCAAAATAAACATTAAAAGCCCGTTTCCCTCGCGGACCGCGTCCCATCACGCATTTCATCGGCCGCTCAAGTGATGGCGCCGCGTGTACGCGCATGTGCATGTGCGCGTGTGCGTGAGAAAAAGCAAATTTGCAGGCACCAGAGAAAATGCCAGTAAAATCATTCCCGTCTCTATTCAGCCTCGCCCTTTCTCGTTCGACGGCCTCGATTCCCCGAAGGCCGGATAATCGCTTAACACTTGCGCTCGGTACTTTCGCAATTGCGAATAGCAGCACATTTTCAACGACTTCGCCGTAAACACTGACTTAATCTCGTCT